CTTCTGGGGATATGGACACTAGGCATAAAATGAAAGCCTGTCACTTTAAGGCAATAACCCCTCCCACCTGGCAGTTGTAGTACGCAGTATAAAAGGAAATGAGGGGAGGAAGCTGTGTCACTCAATGGACTCGGAGAAAAATATTTTGATGGTAAGAACAAAATCCTATTTTCTCTATCGTCCATTGGAGGGACACAGAAGAATTCTGGAACATTCGAAAGCAGCCCAAAACAGGGGTGGGCACACAAAACGACCTGCCCACCAAAAAAGAATAAAAAAGGGCAGAAACTAGCATCAGAAGAAGCAGAAACATGAAACTTTATAAAACTTTGCAAAAGTGTGACCAAACCAGGTTTCAGTCTTACAAATTTGAACAACTTAAGCCTGATTGTGAAAAGCCCCAGTAGTACTAATTGCCCTAGTAGAGTGAGCAGAAATAGGAAAAGGAGGTTTTTTTTAATCCCATAGCGTATAGGCTTTACCAACCACCTGATGAATCCACTTAGAAATAGTGCAAGTAGCAACCAGACAACCTCTCCTAGGACCTTCAGGGAGGACAAAGAATCCATACATATAATAGGAAAATGTGGGAGAAAGATAAACTCCAATAGCCCACACAACATCTAAACAATGTAGAAACTCTCCGTAGGATGTAATGGAGTAGGACAAAGGAAAGGCAATATAATGTAATAAAAGAAACGGAGAGGCTACTTTTGGCAAAAAGAAAGTATGTAGTTGTAATTGTCTGCCTTGTCTTGTAGAGAACCATATTGATTCTACACTGGTTTTACAAGACTAGCAGAAGTCATGGCTACAAGGAAAGTAACCTTTTTAGTGGTAAAGAAATATCACAAATAGGCTCAAACAAAGGATGTAATGAGATCAAACAGGAGGAGCCACATGCACAACCCCTTGAATAAAGGTGCCAAATAAAGAATTAGTAGCCAGAGGTCCTTGAAAAAAAGAACAGATAATGCAGATCAATTACCCTTTATGGCAGCGAGAGCCAAACTTAGTTCTTTCCTTCAATTGGAGGTAGACCAAACACAAACGATGAAAAAGGCCCACAGGGAGAAACTCCGACTCACACCAACAAAAAATAAACTTTCCATTTATGGTAGATTTAACATAGTAACATACTATGTAAGGTTGAATAAAGACCAAAGTCCATCCAGTTCAACCCATGTATGCGAGTGTGTGTGTTTATTTTTCTGGCTCTAACAATTTCTCATATCCCTGTACATTATGCAAAAGAAAAAACGAATCCAGAAGTTTCTTGAATTTATCAATGTTATCAGCAGATACCACCACCTGTGGTAGAGAAATCCAAACTTTCACTACTCACAGTGAAATACCCTTTGCGAATTCTAAGATTGAACCCACTTTCTTCTAAGCTCGTTTACGATCCTGCTAAGCAGATGAGGTAGCAACTACAAAGAAGGAAAGTTCTAGATCAGGGTGTATTGATCCCATGGAGCCACAAATGTGTCCACAGCATGAGTAAAAAAGTAGGGAAGGTTCCAGCCCCCTGCAGGAAGAAAAAAAAAACTGTGGTTGGACTAATCACAACCTACACAACATAAAAAGGACCTCAGAAATGGTAGCTAAAACACCAGATAGGAACAGGACCATTGCAGGAAGTATACCCAGGCAGTGACTGGGAAAGCATGCGCTCTTTAAATGAAGAGATGACCACAGGAACTCCAGACCACCGCAGGATGAATCAGTACGAAGACAAGAAACGGTCTGCTTCCTGACAACTAGAGAAACTTCCTCGATTTAACTTATCCAGCATGGATCAAATAGCAGCTTTTTATAGTAGAATCTCAAAGAAACAAAACAAAATTAAAAAAAAAGCAGAAGAGAAGGAGACATTGTTTCTCCTGAGGACACTAGGAGAAACAGGCAGGTGGGAGGGGTTATTGCCTTAAAGTGACAGGCTTACATTTTTGCGTGGCATAACCCTACCTCTCAGAATTTGTGTGTATCCCTCAATGAATGATCAAGAAAAAGGGCTGTCTGTGCTAGTGCAGCCTGCAGTCATCGTGATAATGGCTTCACTGCTTTGTGAAAGGTACACTATAAAGTTTGTTTCAAGTTATAGCCAGTGCATTTCATTAAGATCTGTATGTAACAACCCCATACTAGGGGGTGAACAATATTTTGAAGGCTCCAAGAAAGCAAATCACAGCTTGGTTGCGGGTCTGCTGAATCCAGCATTCTTAAGGTTACTTTTACTAGCAAAGATTACACAATCTACTCCATTCACTAAGCTAGAACAGTTTTAATTTCCAGTAACAACCGTTGTTTTAGCAATGAGCACTGAATCGCATCTGAAAAAAGGGATAGTTATTGGTGAAGAACACATGCATTACAGCTTATTGAATAAAGTTGAATGCCTCCCTCTGTGTTTAAGGTCTTACCCTTTAACCCTATAATGGGTGTTTAAATCAGCCAAACCAGCAATTATTAGATCAGAAATAAAAACAAAGAAACACATAGTTCTGCTGGTGGAGCACCATTCACGATATTGAATTAAGAGGGGGGTAAAAAAAAAAGTGGAAGGAGAGCCCAGGCACATGACCTGTCAAAGTGACTTGCCATTCCTCTATTTGTGAAGTTCTCACTTTGGTTTTAAGAAGAAAACTCTGTGGGACACTCAAGGGCTCCACACCGCAGCCAGCATTTTATGAATGCTTAGTAAACTGCAGGCTGAAATGTGGAATAATACTACGGTGCCCAGCAGACAGCTATACTTACACTCTGTTTTAAGTTGTCCCCTTGTCTACACTTCAGAGTAATGTAAATTGCCATGTGCCAATGCTTAAAAGCTGAGAAGGTGGAGAGTAGGTAAGAAAGACACAGAGAGTTGGTTCCTTCAGTGAGTAAGGTCTATGATGCAGCAGAAGAGCAATGATGAAATCTGCTCTAGCCCTGCGGTTTAATATGGTAAGACTATGAACACAAGCTGAGGAAAAGATAGATGTGACTCAAGTCTCAGGTGTCCTGGAGACTTGAGTCTACAAACAGAGTGCATACGTTATTTTCAGTGATAAATACAACATAAGTAAACAATTCCACCAATATAATTGTTTTCCTTACTTTTGTCCTTACCAACCTTGGCCGAATTCCATACTCTCCCCTTACCAACCTTGACAGAACTCCATACTCTCCCCTCACCAACCTTGGCAGAATTCCATACTCTCCCCTCACCAACCTTGGCAGAATTCCATGCTCTCCCCTCACCAACCTTGGCAGAATTCCATACTCTCCCCTCACCAACCTTGGCAGAATTCCATACTCTTCCCCTTAACAACCTTGGCAGAATTCCATACTCTTCCCCTTAACAACCTTGGCCGAACTCCATACTCTCCCCTTACCAAACTTGACAGAATTCCATACTCTCACCTTACCAACCTTGGCAGAATTCCATACTCACCTTTTGCCAAGACAACTATCCTCTTTTTTCCCCCCAGCAAGGAGTTTGCATTTAGTCTTTGAACAAACAGCATTTTTTTTTGCAGCATGTTAACCATGTGACCTCTTTCTATTCTCTAGAACAGCACACCCTGCTATCACTGTGCACACCCACCTGACACATACTGAAGCAATGCAATGTAAACCTCTCAGATCTGAACAATTCTAAAAAGTCAGGAGGCCTCAAATGAGGTAGGATGATCTATGCAAATGGCCAGAATCTGTCTTTGGAAAACATTGAAGATAAATTCTAGACCTAGTGTTAAAGAGTACTTTCACTAGAAAGGATATATTTGTACTTGGCTAATGCAGCTTTTGAAGAAATGCCAATACAAGTTTCCTTTTGTGAAGAAAAGTTTGGTTTCAGGCAATATTGCCTGCAGCATTCTGGTAATTCCTGCTGTGCTTTGTAAATCTGCTCCAGGAAGATAGATTGCTCAATCACAGAACTGCAATCTCCAAACAGAAATCTCTAGTTTTGGCTTAAAACAGCAATTTTTAAAAGCAAAATATTTACGCAACTACATAAGCCCTTGTGCTAGAAGCAGAATTTATCTCTAGACAAGGTAACCCGGTCACATTGCTTATTTGCCATAAGAGGACAAGTAGAAGTCGCTATGCATTATGTTTAGTGAACGTGCAGTTATAATCTAATCCTGCCTTCAATTTCAAATAATCTTCACCTGTAACATTATTGATACCCTTCCAAAATAACCTCACACCTTCATAGGCAGGAGACAGACAGTGACTCCATTACAGTACACTCCCTTCCAAACTACAGCTGATTTATAACATAAGAGAAATAGAATAAAATTTTAATTCACGGGTTTTAAACATAGGTTCTGTCGATGTACTGCATGTTAACATTACAGGAGTTGACATTATTTTTAATCATAGAATATAATATACACTTTATTCTCAATCCTGGGACATGAGCCCACCATACAGTGTAAGTGCCAAAGAAAAGATCTGTAAGTGCATATAAACATTAGGAGCAGGGGAGGATTACGCATGTGCAAGATTTGCTATGAACAAAAATCAAGCCCTGTTCAATGGAAGTAGATGTGCTATTACATTTAGTAGCAAAAAGGAATTATGCCACTCTTGCCCTAGGGATAGAAGCCTTGTAGAATTGAGGATTGTGACATCGGAATTGCTTGAGAGGTAGCCAACCACACAGCATGGCAACCCTCCAACACCCCCCCTCCCCCCCAAATTTCCGATCATTAGAAAATACTACAGCGGGTTGGGAGAGACATCAAGTCACTGCCTTACAAGACTAAACTAAAGCATCTCTGTACATTTACATCTAAAGCATAACTGGCACTCAGGTTGTTATTCTATACCCAAAGACTGCTTAGAGATCTCTACAGCCTGGCAAGACTACTTTATAAAAGTCATTGTTGGTGGATCATTAAACCCACATCTAAGCCACTGCTCCACTCCATCAAATGGACGTTCAGCTAAAACTAACCAGCTTCTGAGAAAAAGGATTTGTATGATTTAGGATGAAAAAAAAACAAAAACGTGACATCTATCCCTTAGACCAATGCAGGCCTACTATGCAGAACTCATGTAAAGCTGTTGTTGTTTTCCCCATGTCTCTGCCTAAGTAGGGACATCCAGGGAAAGAAAACCCTTTTTCAGGTTATGCTTAGTCCTCCTGTGTGGCCCCGGGCAGGGTCCTCACGATCTCCACATACGTGTCTGATGTCAAGTCTATAAATGGAACTCGAGTCAGTGCTGAACATATAGGAGAGCAAAACGGAGTAATGTGCCGCTAGCCATTCTCGCCAGTGTCCGCTATTCATGGACATCCCAAATTTCAGACAGTAATGGTGGCAGTTTTTTGTCCTGTAAGCGCAGAGCAAACACCTGTTCTGAGTGCACACTGCTTAAAGTTCGCAGGCTGACCAGCTTCATTAACATACGAGGAAACATCAGGTGATCCTGGGGAAAAAAAACAAAACAGGCTCATGAAAAGGGACAATATTCCAGTCCATACACTGCGCTTTTCAAAATATAAAAAAAGCCAAAATTATGAGTGTGGGGCAGATTTATGAACGCTTGCCAACATGAGGGAAGAATGACCATTTCGTATTTGGCCATGAAGGTGGTGGCAGGAAAGCATTTTGTTGAAACTGCTGAAAACAAGGCCAATTTTATTTTTTATAATCTGCAGACATCAATTTGCATGCCTCTTTTGCTCTCAAAAAGAAACTTGCAATTTTGTGGCAACTTCTCATATACCTGAGGTCTCTTGATACGAGTGTAAGAGTGCAGAGCTTCCACATACGGTAGCTGGAGGTTCTCTACAAGCTGGTGATTCTGCACATTTGGTCTGTCAGCAGAAAAGATGTTGATTGCTATAAGCAAGGCGTACTCTGCATCATCCAACTGCATCTGCCTCATTCCACGTGAGAACTCAAAGATGGGGTTTATAAACTCCACCTGTAGTCCTGGAGTATAGAAAGAATAAGGGTTATTAGTTATTAAGAGTACAGCTTAAACAGCATTATAACTACACTCACTCAAAGTAGATCTACAGGATAGTTTAAAGCAGTTCGCCTAAAATTATTGTACCTATCCTGCTGGCCTGACCCATGTTCATTAAGGGTTAATATCTTTCCTGAAGAAAAAAATTCTTGTGTATTCCCTCCGGGTGGATCAAGTGAACAACACCAAGCTACCAGTTGTGTGGCCTGTCTGAATACTTGACCTCACCTTGAGTATCTTGAGTAGTTTGAGACCGGGACAAGTATATATGGATGACATGCAGGCACGCACATAAAGCCCGAGACAATCTGTTATGCAAATAACCAATTCAACCAGAAAATCTGTGCTTGGCCCACTCCTCTTTGTTACTTAGTCTGAGTCCACCCATCATATTGCTGGATCAATAAGCAGGTTTGGTAGGAGGGAATCAGGGTCAAGCATAGACTGCCTAGCTGAAGCTATTGTTTGCATAACAGAACAACACAGTGTAAAAGGGCTCCAGGAGTAAGGTGAAAACTCATCTGGAAACTTATTTCAGAGTCACTGACAAAGTACTAAGTAAAAAAAGATTAGCATGACAGCCTGGCAACTAGCATTTTCAGGAGAGGTCAGTACTGACAGCGTTTATGTTTTTCTCATGAGAAGAACCTTTTACATTCAACTTTGAAGGACAAAAAAAGCCCTGTGGACAACCTGAGTCTAGAATTCAAGGGGTTCCACCGGGACACAAAGATTTGAAGACTAACCGAGGTATATTCTAGGGATGCACAGAAATTAAATTTGTAGACCAAAAATGACTTTCTCCAACCTTGTTTACTTTACTGTTTAGACCTATTTCCTTTTTAAAATAGAAAAAGAGATTGGAGGACACAGAGTCCTCAACCTCCTTTTCCGCAGCCCCAGAACTCAATGAACAGGAAGCTCTCAGTACAGCAGAGGCTTCCTGTTCAGTCACAATGTGGAGATCGTAAATACTGTTCATTTATAAAGTGAGCAGATAGTAAATATTTACTAAGTCCCCATTTCAAAATGAACGGGGATCAGGAAGGAATTTTTTTTCCCCTGTTGGAGCAAATTAAACCATGCTTTATAGGGTTTTTTTTTTTTGCGTTCCTCCAGATCAACATGGGGTAAGTGTGGGCAAAGGGTTCTGTTTTAGGTTTTTCTTTTTTTCTCTCATCTCTATAGGTTGAACTTGATGGACTTTTTTCAACCTGACTAACTATGTAACAGAAAGTAATGTATAGCACTTTCTACTGATTCATAATTGGGGACATAGTAATCACTATGTCCTCGATTTGAGCGACTAGTACTGCTCGCTCGTGTTTTTTGGTACTATTGGCATTTTGCCCATAATACCATTTTTAGCCAAAATGTTTCAGCGGCCGAAATTTCCGTGCATCCCTAGTATAAATCAGCTACTATGAGGTTGAAGGCACTTTATAAACAATATAAGGTTCACATTAAGACCCAACTCCCTTACCAACCAAGTCTGATGTCAACTCCAGCACCTCTGTGATCTGCCCCTTTGTATATCGTATATAAAAAGGTAAGGAAGTTAGGTTGTAAAAAAAAAAAAAGATTTTGGTCTTACCTGTAAAATCTTTCTTCTACATCACAGAAGAAAGGGCGTTAATTAAGGAACCAATGGGTTATGAGGCTACCTTCAGGTGACTGGACACTGGCAAAACTGTAAGGGCAGCCTTGTATAACCTCTCCCAGCCTGCCTCAGTTTTGTAGCAAACGGTACAAGAGTGGATCAGAGAAAACACGAACAATAAAAAATCTTGTAATCTTGATAGCACCTCACAGTACACAGGGAGTTCATTCTGGAACCAGTGGGTCAACAAATCAGAGGACTGCCTGAAGAACTTTGTGACAGAAGCAGGCATCCGCTAAGGCCTGAACGTCCTGGTGGAACCTGACAAAGGTGTGAACTGCAGACTAGGTCGCAGCCTTACGGATTTAGAAATACCAAAGCCTGATGCAGAAAAGCCCAAGAAGCAGTACTGCTTCTAGTAGAGTGTGCTTGGAGTTAAAAAGGGGGAAATCTTACTATTTAGCTCATAAGATTGGGCGATACTTCGACAAACCCACCTAGCACCTAGTGGAACAAAAAGCAGATTGTCCCAAGCAGGGACCTTCAGGGACATGCAAATGGAAGCTGAAACAGAGAGGGAAACTCTTAGAGCCCAGACAATAATGATGGCAAAACAACATCCTGGTTAAGGTGGAAGCCAAAGGCCACCATAGGAAGAACGAATGCCTCACCACTGCCTTATCTTTCTAGATCACAAAAGGCTCTTCACAAGTCAAGCCACGAATTTAAAAAATATGCCTAGAAGAAGTGATGGTGACAAGGAAGACAACCTGAATAAGGTCAGAGGGGTTCAAAGGGCTGCTTCTGATGCGTAGACAAAATCAAGTCGAGGTCCTACAGAATTACCAAAGTGTACGGGGTGGGGTCGAAGGGTGCGGGGAAACAAATAATAGCGAATCCTGCACAAATGCCTTCAATAGGCAGTAGGAAGCAATTGGTCTCTGGGAGATAATTGCTAAGGCTAAAACTGGTGCCTAAAGTGGAAATAAAGGTTTAACAAATAAAAAAAAACAGCTGATAGGAAGAAGGATTTATAATGGCAGAAGAGACTGTGGAAGTCTCTTCTGCCATAACCGCTTCTTTCTGTACGCTGAGCCATGCATGTGTAGCTCAGTGCACAGACCTGGCATGCCAGGACGAAGTAACTTCTGTGCACATGCGTGGGAGTCGAATCATCAGGCCAATCCACCAGCCAAGCATTTGAAAACCAGAAGAAGACTAGGGAGAAGATGGAAACACCAGTGAGGGAGAAGTGTATTGCTGGATTGCTTTGGCAGGTAAAGCTGGCCATACACTGTTGAAGGAAAAAAAAAAAATATGAGATATATATATATAAGAACATATTCCTCCATCAATGCTTCAAGCGTGTTGATTGAAGAATCCCTACAGTTGCTTTTGTATTCTGACAGCGGCCGCCAACCCCCGTCAGAATACCCAAATAGAGCCGGCAGCTCATTGGCTGCCAACTCTTTTCGTTCAAAAGGTTTTCCAACCAGCTCCTTCGATCAGCTAATTGAGGGAATGCCGGAGTACTTCCTTGGATGGAATTCCCTTTCCTAAACTTTGGTAAAGCCAGAATCTGGTCCGCTTCTCTTTGAGCTGTGTAACTTCTGGTGTCGTCCTGATGGTTGATGTAAGCCACGGACATGGCATTGTCAGACTGAATCCTGGTCAGATGACCCTGTAACTGAGAGGTCAAGCTTTGAAGGGAGAACCGAATTGCTCTGAGCTCCAGGATGTTGATCGGGACTCAAGATACCTCGAACGACAAGGTCCTTTGAATCAAGAAGCTGTCCAGGACTCCTCACCAGTCCAACAGGCTGGCAGTTGCCATGAGCACCTTTGAGACCACTGGGAGCAAGGACTTCCCCAATTCCAGCGCTAGGTTGGAGATCCACCATGCCTCGCCTTGCTGGACAGACGAATGGGGAGGTCCAGGAACTGAACCAGTTTGTCCCACACAGCCACATCGGGAATGTCCCTGGCCTAGTTTAAGAGGGCCCCTTCATTGCAAAGAGGGCTTATTTCTGGATTTTGCAGGCTAAGAGGGCGGGGTCTTACGACAAAACTGTATGCCTGTCTTGAGATTGGTACCCAAGGCCTGGGAGGGATGAAAGGAACTTTTATTAAAGCAGGAAGCAAACGATTTTGCTACTGGAGATTCTTGTTTTAAGGTAAGGAAGTACTCTTACCCCTCTTGACTTGCCTAATATAAGTATAACTTGATTTGCTGAAAAGGTGCTCCCCAGTAGAGCTTGGAAACACTGGGGGTTGAGATATCAAAAAGGTCAGACATCCACCCCCCACCCCCCAAAAAAAAATCAGTCATTACTAAAGCAAATTCCTCTCTAGATAGCCACTGAGGAAGTCCCTGAGGTGGATAGTGACAAGGAAAAGGAGCAGAGCATAGGAGTGGCAGTAGCCATGTCACCAAAGCATTCCCCTGAGCCATTCTGAAGATTTGTAGCGCGCCTGGCCTGCGGAGTCCAAAGGGTGCCCTGTGACCAAACACTTGCAGGGAGATGGTGACCCAGTAGTTGGAAATACGTGGTGGTGCATTGATTTCTCCCTGTGCTGTGTCTAATCAGAGTCTCAGCAGTACACACACCAGGCAGGAAAAAATGGCAGGTGCATGCACAGTACAGTACTCCAGTGGGAGGCTGCAGAAAAAGAAGACACCCCTAAGCCACAAGAAAATGGAACCAGATTTAAAGAACAGTGATGTTTCAACTGCTTAATGCTGCGACACAAAAGTCACAGCAATGCCCCACACTGAACTCTTAAGGACCAGAGCAAATATACTGGATCAGCAAAAAGCCTCTGGCTTACCTTACCAATTAAATTTTCACCCTCCGAATGGGTATAACTGAACCCCCTCACCCCCCCAAGAGGGTTTATAGGGACAGGCTCCAACGGCAGGCGGACCACAGTCCTGGACCTGTATAACACACGCTTACCAAGTGCCAAGGTCAGTGCCACATGCAGGATACAGTGACTTAAGTGCATTACAGGTTGGCCTTGTATCTTCCATCTGGCAGGGACTGGGTACGGTCTGCCAAAAGCTCAGCCGAGGAGAAACCTGATCTAGAAAGTTAACTAGATCTTACAAAAATGTGTTTGTTTGCTAACTCTGTCAGCTTCAATCTTGAGCCTTAACTCTTTGGGTGCCTTTCATTATTTTTTCTATTTCAAAAAAAACGGACTCCTCATCTGGAAGATATAGCCAAACGGCTTAGAGGAGAAAATTAACTGCTTCAGCTGCTGAGACCCGCGGGGAATACATCTGTGCTAAAATCCAATCCCGGCACCACTCACTAAAAGCTTTCTACCAACTTCACTCTGGTGAGTACCCACCCGAGAGGGACAGTTTGGAACAATTTGAAACACATTGCTGTTTTTGCACATTTGTACATTTGCACAAGGAATCTACCTGTTCACCTGTTACTCGAGAGGGACAGTTTGAATCAATCTCAAGTACACTTCGACTTTTGCATATCTTTATATTTGCACACGGAAACCACCTTTCACTTGGATTTTTTAAACATTGGACACTGATTTTGACGTTTTAAACTTTGTTCGTTTATTTATTCCATCGGAATGAATGTTATTGATTTTAATTGTTTTTTGTATTTTGGTTAGACTGGTTTTATTTATACTTTTTTATGAAGCTAGTCCTGTTTTATATTTATATATTAGCTTCTATACTGACCTCGCCAGAATCATTTATAGCTCATTTTTTTGCTCATATAGGTTACCTTTAGCGCTTTGTTTCTTTCGATGATCTAGAAAGTTGCTGAGAGGTGCTGAAGTGGCTGTGAAATAGGGAACGTGCTAGAATAATTTTGATGTAGAAAATGTGCAGAAAAGGGAGGGGTCATACAGGGCTGTCCTTACAGTCTTATTTTACCAGTGCCCAATCACCTGAAGTTAGCTGTATAGCCCACTGGTTCCAGAATCAACTCTCTGTGTCCAGTGATGTACAATTAAGACAGTATTTTTCCAAAGCAATTCTCTTCATGAGGCGGCCTGATAAACTATATGGCCAACGGTTTGTGGAACCTGACCATCACAATTATATAAAAGCTTGTTAAACATCCCATTCCTATATCATGGGCATTAATATACAGTACCCCCCTCCTTTTTTGTAGCTTTAACAGTCTCCATTTCTCTAGGAAGGCTTTCCATAAAACTTTGGAGTGTCTGGTAATTTGTGCTCATTCAGCCAATTGTTCATTGTTGAAGCTTTGGGATGTTAGGTACTGTTGTTGGATGAAAAGACCTGACTCGCGACTGGTGGTCCAAGTCATCCTACAAATGATCAAGAGAGATTAGAGGTCTATGCCTTGTGCAGGCAACTCAAGTATATCCATACTAAAACACATTAAAAACACCCTTTACTGGAAACAAAACAAACTTAATAATTTGGAGGGGTCTCAACATTATTTTGTCCATATAGGTAGGTGTGGAGGTCAGGTGTCCACAAGCTTTTGTTCATAGAGTGCATTTTGTGGGTATTTATGGGTTCAATTTAAAAAAAGCAGAAAGCTTTACTACAAGTGATTATCTGCTGTTGCTGATCAAAGCAAATGGCAGCCAATCTCACCTGCTCGATGGAAGTCATCCTTACTGTATGTGAAGTCCTTCAGAAAAGTTATACATTCAGTCTCATGATTGTAACGCCTCGCTGTTTCCAGCAGCATTATCTAACAATGGAGTATAACACTATATTAGTTTCACAGGGCCATCAGTAAAACTACATATTTTTTATAAACTGGTTTAAAAAGCATTAATGAATGATGTATATACAAGTGTGGGTGTCCTTGGTTACGTGACACTTTGTTAAAGGAGGCCTATGTGGTGAGTGTTTTCTACTCATCCTCATAGTTAGAGCCGACCTGTGACAAAGAAGCTGTCACAGGTTGACTCTATTGATCGGGAAGTGACCAGAAACACGCACCGATCCGCTCACTTTCTGATAGTCTCCCTGCAGTCAGCGCTCCCCGCAGGGATTCCCCCCTCCGATCCTCCAGTGCTGAGTGGAGGAATGAAACGGGGAAGGGGGCGGGCACAGCTGGCTCTACCTCTAGATAGGCAGAGCCAGCTGTCACTTACGCAGCTCGGTGGATCCAGACATAATTGTCGGGATCCGTTCTGGCTGAGGCGCTCTCAGTAGATCGCAGGCAATAGCCCGCAATATACTGAGCTTTGGGTCACGGGAGGAGGTTAATATATGTCCTCCTGTGAGACTAAAAAGAACTATGGGGAAAAACACTTACCCCATATTTCCCTTTTACATTTCTTTTTACTTAGAAAGTTAACATACTACCTCTACAGAAGACAAACTAAAAGTAAACCTAACCTGTGCCCAGAACTACCATTTAGCGTCCCAGTGCCCTCCTGGTGTGCATAGTGACATAGCCCTGGGTAAAAGCCAGGTGTAAGTTTGGGGTTAGCGCTTACAGATGGGTTAGTCTGGGTAAGAACTTCCCCCAAACACCACATTGACAGTGCTCAGGAGAGTGGCATGCTTACCTATAACATGGAAGGTAAAAGTTAAGCAGTAAACAATAGAAGAGAAAACATCCTTCTCATATGAAGGCAGGCTAACAAAGACAACACACGTAAGAGGGGAGATAGCTGTGTCCTACAGTGAAGTACTGGAGAAAAGGTTTTTACGGTGAGTAATAAAAAAATAATAGTCAATGCCTGAACAAGGGCCAAAGAACAAAAAAGAAAAAAGGAAATTGCTACTAACTAGAAAAGGCACCAAGAAAGAAGTTGGCGTTTCAGAACATGGTATGTGGCACCACTGAGGAGAGATTGCTATTCTAAAAGAATGATGGACCTAAACAATGATGTAGAGGAAAACCAAGAAACTTATCTTGAGGAAAAAACAGTTGGGGAAGACTAAGACCAACAGCAAAAGTGGTACACAAAACAAGAATGTTTATAAAGTAATGGTGACGCTCAAGATGCCTAGCCCCTAACCTTGGAGAATGTAATGTTGGGCACAATTATGTTCCGAGCAAGGACCAACCAGTAAACGGCTTGGGGTAAAAATCAGAATACCCTCGACTTGTTGGAAAGGCAGAGCCATAGTATACAGGGAGAGAGTCTGCATAATTCCAATGTACAGGATTATGCATGTTGGGGTACAGAAAACTCAGAAAAAACTATTGGAAGAGATACCTGGTTTCAGGGTCTAAAGTAAAAGCTGCAGGTTGAAGTCTGAGCAGTCAAATCGAAAGGAAGAAACTTCTGAGAGACCCAATAGAATGAGGAGCAATAACCCACTAGGGTACTTCTGTCTCATCAATAGATCTCCCGTGTTGAAGCGGGCACCCAGAGGAAGAACAAGGGGTTTGGATATGCCACTGTTAATTGTACGACCAAGGAGACACCTTACCTTAAACAGCAAGTGAATAAGGTGTTTAAACGTATTCTCTATATCTGAGGCATGTAGCCCAATTGCCCTAGGCATATGGACAGATATGTGAGAAACCAACTTTTTAGTCCTCCACTTCAGTTATGATCTGGATAGCATCTAACAGTTACTCAACAAGTTGCATACTCAAGGGTCTTGTTTTGTGTTAGAAGAGTACCTTTTAAGCCAGCATTCAGACCTACACATTTCATGAACACACACCAAATGCGCACTTTGGTGCGCATTGACAGAAATTCTGCAAAACGCGCTTGTGTTGCCATTACTTTCTAATGGCACCCCAAACGCAGCCAGGAAACTTGCATTTTTGCTTTGCATTTGCCCATAAACACGCATGCAAAGAATGCGCAATGCATGTTGCAAAATCTGCTACATGAGCTTTTTTACCACATTTTTTAACTCAATGAGGATGCACGACAAACAGCAGACAAACGTGCACGAACATGACATGTCCACAGAACTTGCAGGTGTGAATGCAGGGTAAAAAGAATGTGATCCACTGAGACATGCTTTTACAAAATTAAAGTCACTGACAACAAAAGACCGAGAAACATTCCAGTTAATATAAACAAAGATTTAAATATGTAGTTCCAAGTGGCTATCAGGAAGTCCTTAAGGGTAAGGTACTTAACCAGGGTGACGAGATTTCCATTAAAAAGGTGAAGAACAGGAAAGTCTGCAAAAAGAAGGAACCATCTGTCAAGGAATTCCCTATAGTTACATCAAATCTATCAAAGGGAAAATGCTTCTTCACGTCATTAGGACGACGCCATCACTTCCATGGAAGTTCCCAGTTTTCAAAGAGGAACAAAGAATATAGCAAAGGTCTTTGTGTCAGCACAAGCTAAAAAGGCCCTGAACCTGGCACAGTACGCTGGTCATCTAAATGCATAGAACAAACTGCATAAATCCGAATCTTTTGCATATTCAAATTTTAAGAGATCTGGTCAAATACAGAGTCTGCAAGAACAGGCTGTAGATGCCTGAATTTGAACCAGAGATAAGAACAGGGACCTCCGTATATAATGGAAAGAATAACAGGGACTGAAACTAGGTTCTGTAGCAAATTAAATTAGGGTGCATTTACTATGCATGTAAGCAATTAGTTTCATTAATTGTGCATAACTGACAAGTCAGAAGTGGATATAAGAGGCCTGTTGGACATAGTGCAACTCTCAGGCTTAGCCAGCAGAGCTATAGAAGATGCAGAGGACGATCCTACAGAAATTGGAGACTCAGGATCCAAAATACAGACATAAGTACCTTTTAGGGAAACTGGAGAACTGCTCCCAAAAACAGAAGGGAAGTATTGAACAAGGTCACCAATTGCATATATCCATATGTCCAACAATTACTACATTGGTTAGAAGCCCCTAGATCAGTGGTTCTCAACCTGGGGGTCGGGACCCCTTTGGGGGTCGAATGACGATTTGCCAGGGGTCGCCTAGGGGCTTCTGGCCACCCAGAAGAGAAGCGCTTTCTTTGCTCTTTTTTTTTTCTGACATCGGTCAGTCAGAAAAAAAAACAACTTTCTCATCAAGCAGACTAAACCTTTCCAGGACAAAGTTTTTTGTTTTTTTACCCCGACAGGGTTAAAAGAAAACCTGCCGCTCCGTGTGCACAGTGAGAGGGGATAGCAGTCTTTCCCTCTCACCTGTCACAGAAGTTCCAGCACAGTGCTGTGCTAGAACAACTGTATTGGAGGTGACAGGGTCAATAAAGAGAACCTCTCACCTCCAATTGCTATCACACAGTGGCTTGTTACCTCTGTGTGATAGCAATGAAGTTAAGTGGAAAAAAAATAGATAAAATTAAAAGAAATAAAAATAAAAAGAATCAAAAAAATAAAAAAAGCGATTAAAAAGAAATAAGAAACAAATTAAAAAATAAGAAAATTATAAAAAAATAAAACAATAATTAGTGCAACAGTGTCAGTTCTCCCGCCACGCCGCCAGATGTCGCTGCAGCAGCCGCGTCATCCCTAAATTTTACTGTTGGGGGTCACCACAACTTGGCAAATGTTACCAAGGGGTCCCGGCCCTAGAAAGGTTGAGAACCACTGCCCTAGATTCAGGCGCTACTGGCTGAGGACATTTTGCCAATTTTCTAGGCCTGGAATGTTCACAGCTGACAAAGCTATAACGTAAAGTTCTGCCCATAAGAGGATCTGATCTACCTCTTCTGCTGCAGGGGAAATTCTAGTTGATGCACACCAGTGCTGTGATGTCTGCATCAGATTACCCTCCAGCAGTATGATGTAATGCTCCAGAGACTGCCAAATTGCCCAAAGTTCCAGGATGTTTATTACCATAGGAGATGAGACTTCTTTAGATAACCAAGTCTCCAGCATGAACATTGTACCCGACAGACTAGCGTCCATCCTGAGGATTTTCTAAAAGATGGGAAGGACTTCTCTAACTACAGAGCCGGATTGCTGTGCTACCAAGCCAGGGTCAGACTGGTCCATGAGGTCAACCTAGTCAGTCTGTCAGACACTGGACCAATTTATCCCAAAACCACAGGTGTCAAGAGTGGAAAATGAGCAAAGGAAACTGCATCTAAGGAGGCTACATTAGGCCCAAGACTCATGCAAGAGTCGGACAGCTTCTGGACTGGAGAGGCCAAACCAGAGAGTCTGTAGTTTGTCCTGCAGAAGGAACACTCCGGTCCAAGGACGTGTCCAGGACTAGATCCAGATATGGCAAGTCATGAGTTAGTTCCAGTGATGACTTCTGAATATTCAGGATCCACCTGAATCACTGTATTGTCTTAAGGGTCAAAATCTGAACATTTGTCCATCAGAGCCTTTGCAGACTGTTAGCTCAACAGGAGGTTGTTTAAGTATCCCACAATGAAATAGTCATGAGATCACAGCAGGGCTTATACTGGGGCAAGCACCTTGATGAATACAAGAGAACTGGTGAGGGGTCGAGGGGCAGGGCCATCAATTGTAGTGTCGGGGCCTCACAGAAAGAAGAAGGAATCGTCGATGCACTGGTAAAATGGGGACATGTAGGTATGCTTCTTTGATGTTCATAGAGGCCAGAACGTCTGCCTGGTGAATGAAGGAGATGACAAATCTGGTGGATTGTGAATTTCTGGACCCAAATAAGGACATTCAGAGCCTTGAAATCCAGGATAGGTTAAATGCTCCGCTTGTGTTTGGGAACAGTGAACAGATTGAAGTAAAGCCCCTGAAAATGTTGTGCTATAAGAACTTGGGCAAGGACACCTTGATCCAGAAGACCCAAAAGGGCTTGAAAATCTGCCAAGTGACACATGAAGGTTGGAAATGAGAAACAAAAGCGGAGCAAAACTCCAGTTTGTAGCCCTGGGATACCGCCTCCCGCACCTAAGCGTCTGAAATGCAAGCTGTCCAAGTATAGGTCAACAAACGTCCCCGTACTATGGAAAGTGGGGGAGCACCTTCATAAAGAGGAGGGCTTGCCTGAGGATTTGGCACATTGAATGCCAGACTTTATGGAGGGACAGGGAGCCAAGCTTGCAGGGTATTGACAAGGAGGTGGAGGGAGTGGAGAAACAAAGAGGGAAATTTCTTAACAAACGAGGGAGAAGACTTTGCAGTCTGTTCCTTCGAGTTAGTCTGCTGAGAAAGATGGGTGCCACCAAAGCATCCTTGATATTACAGAAAGCCGGTCTGAAAAGACAATGAAGGGAATTTATCAAAGCTGGAACAGACAAAATCAGGACCAGTTGACCATGGCAACCAATCAGCTTCTCTCTTCAGTTTGTTCAGTTAAGACTTGAAAATGAAAGAGAAGCTGACTTGCTGCAGTTTACATCTGCTCTGGATTTTGTCTGCTCCAGTTTTGATAAATTCCCCTCATTGTCTCTGGAAGGCTTGTACAATACAGCATTACAATAAAAAATTAAAAAATAAAAAAGGGGGGGGGGGGGTGGTCTTCATGTGGTTAAGAGGTTGTTACCACTGCAGTGAATTTCCAGATCTTGGGGTCCAATATAACGTAATACAGACCGCAGGGTTGGACAATGCAACTTAACATTGATCCCGGTGATTGCTGCTGCGGTGACTGGGTGCGTCACAAAATAGCAGGTCCGCTACAGTGAAATACAGAATTTAAGGGTTCAGGAAGATACTGAGAATGGTTGTTTGTGGGTGTGAATATTCTGGATCTGAGAGGACACTGCCAGCCACTGACTGATTTAAGAAACTTCAGATCTAAAAAGGTAGATGTCTCGGGAAACAGCCTACTTACAGTGACTGTCCACAATCTGGGAGACCCAACATGCATTGATGCTTGTGAATATGCGCAATTGGGGGTCCAGTATAATGCATAGAGCAGAACGGCTGTTGGAATGATTGACTATCTGGTCTAGGAGCCCAGTATGTCTAGATAAAGCCAAATGGCTGATGCAGTGAATATCTGAATCTGGGGGTCCAGTAGGACACTGCATGAAAATTGCTACTGTGGTAAATTCCCAGGATCTGGGGGACTAGTATGACACCTGCCAGTAGCTTGATACATTAATCTTCAGCTTGGAAGTCTTGATCCAACAGAGCTGGGAAAAGATGCCCTACATCTTCAGGACACTAAGCTAAACAAGGCTTGTTAGTATACGCTAGGATGAAGCGTGTCCTTTGGTTTTGTCAAGGGTCTACCATCTAGAGGTGGCAGCTATACCAATCAGTGCAAGATTGACTGACTGTATCCTCAAAAACAAATTAAAAACATTTTCAGAGTTACCGATAACTCCATTTCCAATAGTCTTCTAGGACAGCATTGCAAGAGATAGAGGCTCCTCCTCAAACCACAGGAGATGGAGGCTCCCCTAGCGTTCCAGAAACGTGTTCCCCAGTTGACCGAGGAAACACAAAGACTGATGGACTGGAAAAGAGGCGGGCCTTTTAAATCTGAAGGGGTGAGGTGTTTCCTGTGGTTTGGGGCATCTTTCGCAATGCTGTCCTGGGTGCCGCTAGCAGGGCTTGGATGAAAAGTGCAATAGTCGCCAAGCAGCAGCAGAATGATTAAATGTCTGAGACATATTTAAATTAAAAACCAAAGTTCTAAAAAGGTATTGCTTTTAACAGTGTTTACTTTATCAGGCATAGAAACGCAATATGCAACCAAAGTAAAAGGATAGTGGAATTATGTAACTAGAAATAAGGTTTTGTACATTTTAAAAGAACATGTTTTAGGACTGTGTTCTGTTTTTGTTAGAACTGTTATAAAGTCATGGCAAGCACAGTTTACTTTATTTCCACATTACCTCTATGGTTGATGCCTTCAGAAGTGCTATTTGATCTTCTCGAGACAATTCCAAAAACCCAGGGACTTGTTTGGCAAAATCCACAATCTCCTGCACAGAGATGATGGCTAGCTCAGTAAAGTGAGCAAAGCGTTGTTGGCGAGCTTCTCTGCTGTTCGGGTCATTGGCGAGGGGCCATGGCTGGAAAGAGAGAAGTCATCAGTAAGAAATGCAATATCAGCGGTATTAAATGAAATGAGGATATGAAAGTGATAGAATGTGGTTTCATTTGCTCAGTTTGCATGTGACAAACATTAACCTCTAAAATGTTATTTGTTCTTCGGTGTGTAGTGAATGCAAATGTATGCCCACTGCAGTTTTACATTGCCACTATGTACATATTATGCAGAAATTCTGGTCTGCATCCACTACCCCTTATTCTGCTTCCATCTTATCACATTTATGGGCTTTAGCTACTAAGATATTTTATTCCACCCAGAATGAGTTTAGCATATCCATCACAGCACCAAATATTATACAGCACATATTATTGCCCGAGGAGGATAAACAATAGTTTTCTTGAAAGGTATAAGTCAGAGAGACTCAATAGGAAGCAGGAGTAGCAGCAAGCATATAGTAGCCTCTAGAGCAGGGGTGGTCAAACTCCTGCCCTCCAGTTGTGGTGAAACTACAAATTCCATCATGCATCTGCCTCTGGGAGTCATGTCTGTGGCCGACAGTCTTCCCAGGGTCTTCAAAGAAATTTATTTTTGGGACGTTCGCTCAATTTTCTAACAGCTAATGGGGTTAAAAATCGACAATTGTTTTCAACTGTAGTGACAAACAAAAATCGAAGGAGCAGGATTCTTGAACGAACAGTGAATATGATCTTCGTTCAGGAAACATCAGTTATTCTAAACACCGAATGTTAAAATCAAACGTCATTTTGAACAACATTCTTCAAGTCTACGATGTCATTATCGAATGTTCTGATAAAAGTTTATTTTGTATGAACGTTTATACAAAATTCTACCAGTGTATGGCCAGCTTTAGGTAAAGTAGGGCCTATGTCTCAGGACAACCTATTGAGGGATAAAAAAGGCAACTTGCAAGACAAAGTTGCCAGTTTAAAGAACCTCCTGGTCAAAGTTATGAAAGGAGGAACGCCACCACTTCCCTGCCAAAAACTAGCAAACAACAAATGTCACTCCACCCAGATGTCCACAGGTGGGGGAGACCTTCATGACTTCTGATGAACGTTTATCAGAAGTCTCAGAGAACTTGGCAGTCCAGAGAGCATATGTAGGAGCATAAGGAAGGTGCACCTTTTCTCACAGAAGACCTTGGGTTATGGTGCTCTTTCCACCAGTAGAGTTCTTAATGATGATGTCTAGAGAAACTCTAAATAGCCTGTAAAGGGAAGCTAGACCAAGGTATTTTATTTTCTATGCTGGGCCTTAGCTAGATTTTAGCTAAAGTACCAGAGCTGCTGAGCTGATGTGGGCTACAACACATCCTGCTTCGAGGGTGATGTCACAGGTAAATTTGACTATCTGCACCAGCTGATCCCTCAAGCCGATTTGATTGTTGGAATGAGCCTTAGGAAGCTCATGACATGGGAATCTAGCCCATTCAGTACAGACTAGAAAACCCAGGTACAGGTGAAAACACCAACCTCAGAGCAGAGCCAGTGGCAGGAGAAAAAAAAAGGTCTAGAGAGACTCCAATTTTTTTTTCTGTCGAATCCTTAAAGTGATATTACAGTCACTTTTTTTTTTTAGTTATTTAAAATGCTGAAGTTAGTCTACCCCGGTTTTAATTACTGCAGAATCAGCTAGCCACAGTATTCAGTTTTAGGTTTGTTTCTTTCCATTTAAAGTGCTATGGAGCCACCATCACATGCATGCTCTTGCCTGGAACTAGACCTGGATGTATGCTGTCTGCTACTATACTGTGTGCACCCATGCAAATACACAGAACCAAGGCTATTCTTCCATTTCCACCTCATCCAAACTAATTGATGGACAGCTGCTGGTGTCTGCACGGTCCCTTGTGACCTGATATTTAGTGTGAGCACTCCCCGACAGGGACCTTGAGCTGGCAGAAGTAAATAGTATCTAATGTAAGTGTTTGTGCCTACATATGCAGCAAATTATGTACTGGGGAATGTTTAATAGGCTGCTTAAAAATGGCATTTAAGAATGGGAGCATTTAATACTACTTAATGCAGAATCCACTATAGGGATAGGCAGAAAAAGCTGAGAGTGGGAGGGGGTTGGTACTTGGGACCCCTATGACCTGGTTGGGGAGCCAAAACCTGGTATAGCACCCCAGGACAGGACTGAACAAGAAAAGGAGAGATACAGCAAAGGATCAGAGATGGGAGTAGAAGCGGTTAACCCACTTCTTGTAGGTATGCTTCTTGAGGAGGAACTACCAGCACAAAATTACTAAGCCTAACCGCAATTCAAATTTGAGGGTGCACACAGCACAGGCAAAATCTTCACTGTCCAATATGCAATGATTATTTGGAACTGGGAGTTTGGTAAGGTACAAAGAAGCAGCATCTGCAACACAGGGAATACAGTATGTGAATCTGGAGGTCTAGAGTGAAACTGTCCAAAAGCATGGCTGATGGGGTGAAAGTCCAGGACCTGTGGGTCTGATATGACAAAGTTAGCAGCTGTTAATAGAAGAATGTTAATGCTTAAAGGTCTTGATCAAGCAGAGCTGGTGAGAGATGTCCAGCTTTCTCAGGGCACTTAGCTAAACTGTGCTTATTCAGTACATGTAGGGGTACAGGCACTAGATGATATCAAACAATAGAAGACTATATCACCAATAAATGCTGGAAGGAAAAGGATTATGTTAGGCTCACCAGAAATAAGATAAACTTTGAATATAGCCTTATTAACAGCCACAGGAAAAAAAAAAACCTGAAAAAAGACGTTTACACATTTATTTTCTATATGGATTTGACGTGGCAACATAACAGGTAACACAAAAATACACATTCTAATGCAAAGGCGATTAATTATCTACTTTTAAATATAAAAAAACAAAAACCCCCAAATACTACTCTGTCAGAATGGGGTGATATTCATACTTTCTACAATCTGATCTCCACAACAAACTTACTTAACAAATCATAGCATGCTATGAATAAGGCTCAAGCTGTGGACTGAAACAAGTCAGCAGTTTGTTGCTTGCTGTTCTTTTTATCTGCTAACATGGAATAACATTAAGTTTTAAAGGATCCCTTTTTACCTGCTGGACTTCGCTGTACTTAAATCAGGAGGGTTGACAGGAACCCCGATCGAGCATTAAGGTCTCTTGACACTTTAATGGGAAAGCTGGGGGTTGAGCTGCTGTGCATATATAGATTTACACTTTATGAAGACATTTGAGGTCTATTAGACCCCCCTGACACCTCCTCTGTTTTATCAGATATAGATCAAAGTCCCTGATCGGCTGCTAAACAAGCTCAGAGCACTGGCAAACAAAAGCTCAGTGCTGAGCACTTGTGGTCTCTCTAAGTGCAGAAGTAAACAGGTGTGGTGAGGTTGTGGGTCGAGGTTTGGGTTTTGTGGAGGAGCAGAGAGAAGGGGGGGGGGCTCAAAACCCTAAATACAGCCACATGTGGAAGTGAAAACGCTGCACATGTGGCTGCGTTGAAGCTTTTAGTTAGATTTAATCAATACAGTCCCTATAATTAATAGATAGGAGGTACTTTTAAAGCTATTCCACACTAAGTGATATTGAATAATTCAATGATCAGAGGGTCACGCAAATTCCCTTTTTTCTACAGCTTATTTTTCCACCTTAGCCAAATAACGATATGGCTTGTTTCAGGACAACAGCTTATAACTCTGCAGCAGTGTATATGTTTCACTCGGAAAAACACTGTCATACAGTCACTGCTACCGTTTACATTTAATATGCTCATTGCCCTACATGCAACATGATGCAGGTAAAGCCAGGGGTAGGAAACATTGACACTCCAGCTGTTGTGGAACTTTAAGTCCCATGAGGTACTGAAAGCTTATTACAGCTACGACTCCCAGAGGCATGGTTGGATTTGTAATTTTTAAAACAAGTGGGGTGTCAAGGTTGCCTATCCCTGCTATAGACATAGATAGATCCATTTCCAGTCAAGCACTGTTTTTGCAGTATGTTGCGGAGCCCGGGATCAGGGGGACAACAGCGGGGGGGACCGCGGAGGGGGGGACACCCGATCGGCACCCCATACATGCGATCGGCCGGCTCTACAGCCGGCGGATCGCATATATATTAACGGGCATCGCTGCCCGTTTTTAAATACCGGCCATTTCCCGCTCGGGGGCGTGTCTGAGCGGACGTCTAGAGACGCCCGCTCAGATCGAGAGAGCTCCTGGCCGGCTGTTTTTTTACTACGGCCGGCCCGGAGGTAGTTAACAGTAAAATATATTAGAGAGTGAATCAGTTGCAGGAAATTCATTTTTATATGCTGTATGCTGATACAGCATATAAAAATTTTAACGCAACGGTGTGATATGTGGACTTCCTCTTGCATCATCCCTGCCTCCTCTTTTAACAACCAAGAAGTCCATTTGGCTGCATAAACTTCAACTCTCTCATTTCATTCATTCTCTCAATCCAGTCTGTTCTGTACAGAGACCTCTTACTGAATTTAGAGCTGCCTTCTACAGGAGTGGAGGCTGACTCACCTACTGTAAAGCCCTTTATAAATGACTTCTTTGCACTCAGTACCCTAGCAATTCACATTTTCTGATGAAATGGGAGAGGGATGTCTATTCCCCTGTCACACTGGAATAAATCCTTGGTGCCTACTTACGAACTCTCTTTGTCCACCAGATATCAAGAACACAATTATAAAATCATATCTAGATGGTATACATTCCCTTTTTGATCCTAAAGCCTCCCACTGTTGATGACAAGGTCTAAAAAACAAAAGCGAAGGCTCCGTGGCACACATTTGGGTAACATGTCCTCCCATAGTGCCCCTCTGGGACAAGATTTTTAAGATTTATAACAAGATCATAGGCATTGTCCCTTAAACCCAACCTGAGCATTATCTATCCTGCCTGGTTCCTATAAGTCTATCAAAAAAGATCTGCTACATTATATGTTGTTATCTGAAGCTCATACACAGAATCTGAGACAATGGCATTAAGAAAGGGTCCTGTCAATAGTAAAATGGGTGTCAGATGAAGAAGATTAAATCCATGGAAAACATGATCACTACAGAAGCAAACAGACCAGAACCATTGCAAATAGGGTAATGCCAATGGGTCTACTTTAAGACCCTCCTGCTGGACTGTGTCCAATTTAATCTGCTATAGTGAGATTAGTAAGAGTGGAAACTTTAAAAACAGACATTCCGAGGAATATAAAAAGGTACAGCGACAATATATGGATGAGGTACATTTGCCCTCCAATTAATATAGAATTATACAGAATGTCAGTTCTGGAAACTCTAATGCCATGTGTAAAATATGTAAACACTTTTACATTTTCATGATTATTATAAATGTTCTAAAACCACCATGATAGCATGGAATACACAGAACTCTTAAACGACATACCGTTACTTTAGGCTGATCACTGAACGACCTTTTGTTGCACTGTTGCTGGGCAGATACTAGTTGCTGTATCATTTCTTCTTGCTGAGGTGTGAGATGGACAATATCCTGGGTCAGCATAGAGGGGCTGGGGGGACCCAGAGATGCAGATGAACGAACAACATCATCCTCCTGCTGCTGCTTCTTGATCTTTTTGCTACGAATCTGCTCTTCTGACAGAACACCTGGGAGGAAGTGCAACAGGGTCACACACACAGTCAGTCCTCAGACATCATATGACTATGACAGAGCAAGTACTTAAATCAGGTCTGAGAAGACATGGCTGGAAGAAGTGACAGAGCTGGCTTAAGACAAGTGACTCAATGAGTGGCTAGGTGTTGAAAGCCTCTGAGCATGCACCTTCAAAAAAGGGAGGAATTTTTTTTATATTCCCCGTAAAAGCCCCTGTTTCATTGGGGGACACATGATTTAATTTTTTTATGAAAGGGTACAGCTGCTGCCTTCCAAGGGGATATGTCCATCCTCTTAGCGAACAAAGGGTGCAGCCCTAGCTACTGGCTATACCCATGCATGTCCAACACACGTTTAGGAATAGCATGTAGAATGGAAATGAAAGGAAACATTCTTGAGAAAACACTCCAGTAGCAACTTTAGCAAGAAGCCAACAATGCCGGGCAGCAGCTGTGTCCTCCAATGAACTACTGGAGAAAAAGAATTTCATGGCGAGTACAAAACGCACACACAAAAAAAAAAAACA